AGATAGATAAATAGAGAGCGAGAGAGAGAGAGAGAGAGAGAGAGAGAGAGAGAGAGAGAGAGAGAGAGAGAGAGAGAGCTTTCCATAGTAAGTTGATGGGCGAGCCTTGTTAGTTAAAAACCTGTCTGCCTGACTTAACGTCCTGATGTTTGCCTAGACAAACGTTGTGTACGGTGGGGAACCCACACACACACACACACACACACACACACTCACGCACACACACACACACACACTCACGCACACACACACACACACACAGCCTTAATTTACAACATTAGGGTACGGAAACCGTATGACGAAGCCAGGGTACCGCACGCTCCGTTTTGTACGGTAGTTTGACACGTAGGAAGAGATGGCGGAACTCTTCTGCGACGATAAGAGGAGAGATGCGAGTGGCGTACCTGGTGTGCGTAACCTCAGGGTGCTCAATGCTCACTTCTGTTGCCCGTCCCGACTCACCCTGACAGGTGGAGTGACTGTGATAGTGGTGTTGCTTTCATTCTTCCTCATCGGCGGCGGACGACCGGTCGGGAGCGGATCAGTTTTGGCGCAGTCGTCGGTGCGATTCGTCCGCTCGCGCGCAGGCGCAATTCCTCCCCACCGTCTTCCAGAAGACCAAAGGGTGCTGCTAACATCCGGCAGTTGCCCTGGTTTAAATGTCCTCGACGAGTCTCTCGTCGTTGGCTCGTGCAAAGGCATCCTTGCGTATGAGAAGGAAGCCCCGTTCGTCCTCGGTTCCAACGACACGGGTATGGTGTGCAAACCGATGGTACGCAACATCGTGTTCCAGCCCGGTGGTGGTCCCAAGTTCTACTACCTTCTCGATCAGGTCTGCTGGACGGACGGACAGATGACAAAGCCAAGCAGGCGTCGCATGTCATTCTATGAATCATCGCTGAACACGGAAGCAGTGGAAGGTCGGTTGATAAGCGACTGGTGGCCGGCGCGCGAGGCAACGGGAGCCCGACTGACTCACTTCACGTGCCAAGACGATAACTGCACGTCGTACATGCATGTCGCAACGGGGATGGCTCTGTCGAAGTCTGGATTGGAGCTGATCTTGTCGGGATACCATTCTGCAATTCCGCGGGGATCTTGGCTCACCACGCTTAATGCCGAGACGAGGGAGAGGAGTTCTGTCTCGGTGCAGGTGGATTTCGCCACCGGGATGGCTCTCGATCCCGACATGACCACTCTGTTCGTCGCGACGGGGGGGGTCCCTCCTCTTCGGATCTTGTCTTCTCCGATTACCCTTGATCGCAACGGCGACATTCCCAGCCAGGAACTCTCCACTCCCTCCCCTCTCTTCTGTTTTGATCAGTTTCACGAGTGGGACGACTCATCCATTTACTTTGGGCCTTACAGTTTCCCACGCGATGGCAGGTGCTTGCACTTCGTCGATCGCAAGCCCGGCGGCAGCGTTTGGGCACTCGACCGTTCGTCGAATGTGGTCCATCTTGTCGCTGGACGTGGATTCACCCCCGCCTACTCGCCGCAAATAACAAGTAGAAGTGCTAACACCAGTGGAAACGGTAGCACCAGTGGGAGTAAGATAGTGATGTCCAACGCTTTAAGCGTATCTTTCGGAGAGTTAAACGACCTAGTCGTCACGGAGGATGGAATGAACATCGTCGTCTGCGAGAAAGACACAGGTTTTGTGAAGTGGATAGAGCTCAACTCTCCATGTGGAGTCGGGATTAGAGTCACGAACGTCACGCGGTACACTAAACGCTATGGATATGGCGTGGGTTCTTTGGCCATGGGAAACTTCAGCGGGGAGCTTGTCTTGCTGCTAGGCACAGACGACGGGGAAGTGTTCCAGCTCACTATCAACAGATCAGCTCTGCAGCCTTATGCGGCCCCACGTAGCGACTCGTCACCCTACCCCAACGCTGCTCATCCCAATTCCTCCATCTCTCCTCCTAACCCTGCCAACGACACTTCGTCGCAATCGCGGGGGGAATCTATGCGCAGAGGCGGAGAAGGCGGGAACAACAACAACGTCGTGCTGGGTGTCGGTGTAGCCTTCGGTGTTTCTCTGCCGCTTCTGTTAATCGGGACAGTCGCTCTGCTATGCCGTAGAGCACAGCAGCGCCGCCGAGGGCCAGAACGTTCTGTCCTAGTCCACGGCGTCGAAGTCTTTGATTTGAAGACCTTAAGCGCAGCGACGAAGAGTTTCCCCCAGTCTCGACGGATTGGGAAGGGGGGGGGGGGCACCGTCTACTTTGGATTCCTGCGGGGTAAGAATTCACCGGCAAGGCCGATCGCTGTCAAGGTCATGCCCGACGCACTGCCAAAAATCAACGAAGACTTCTTCCACGCAGAGTTGGAGACGCTCAGCCGGATACATCACGTCAGTGTGTGTGGATTGATTGGCTACTGTCAAGATGAGAGTGCGTTGATGTTGGTTTACCCTTACATGGCGGGCGGGAGCTTGTACGATCGACTCCATGGACGGCATGAACGTCTGGAAAGAGAAGTACCAGGAGGGACAATAGCGAGAGAAGCAGGGGGAGAAGGTACCGTAGCAGCGGCATACGAAGAGCCAGGAGCGTCACTAATAGTGAGAGAAACAGGACGAGGAACGGAAGGAGAAGAAGGAGGAGCACGCGGAGGAGGAGGAGGAGGAGGAAAAGGAGGGGCAAGACGAGAAGAGTCGGATGCAAACGGGGGAAGAAGAGGAACTGAAGGGGGAGACCCTCCAGGGGAAGAAGGTACCGTAGCAGCGGCCGACGAAGAGCCAGGAGCGTCACTAATAGTGAGAGAAACAGGACGAGGAATGGAAGGAGAAGGAGGAGCACACGGAGGAGGAGGAGGAGGAGGAGGAGGAGGAGGAGGGGCAAGACGAGAAGAGTTGGATGCAAACGGGGGAAGAAGAGGAACTGAAGGGGGAGACCCTCCAGGTGGAGGCAACGCCGCAGGAGACGTGCCATTCTTGTCCTTGTCCTTCTGTTGTGGCCCGCAGAAGCGGTCAATTACCGCTCCCGAAGCGGAGTTGGTACACCTCACACGTCCCTCCCCTCCTCTTACCCTGGTCGAGCGTTTGGTGGTGGCGTTTCAGATTGCCAAGGCTCTCCGCTACCTTCATTTCGAAATCCGCCCCAGAGTTATCCATCGCGATGTGAAGAGTGCAAATGTGTTATTGGGAGAAGGAGAAGGTACGCAGTTGAAGGCATACCTAGCGGATTTCGGTCTGGCCCATGTGCTGGAGGACATTCTACAAACAGCCGGCAATACATCCACGGGAAGGACGGGTTGGGGAACGCTTGGTTACATTGCCCCCGAGTACAGCGAAGGGGGAAGGCCGAGACCGAAGAATGACGTCTACTCTTTTGGCGTTCTGCTATTGGAGCTCCTGACTGGCAAAAAGGCCGTAGTTAAAGACGAGAAACGTGGCAAATACGTAATCCTAATCAACGAGCAGATGGACAACCTGCTCAAGGCGGACAACCTGCTCAATGCGGACATCGTCGATCTCGACAAGATCGTCGATCTCGACAAGATCGTCGATCTCGACAAGATCTTCGATCCTGCCATTAAACAGCAAATCCATGCTGAACCGATGAAGACAACGGTGAGAGCGATGTTCCTTCTTGTTGCTGGTTGTGTTCGCGAAGAGAAAGTAAGACTTAGCAGCAAGGACGTAGCCACGAAGATGGAGTACATTCTGAAGACGGCCGGGATAATTGTAGAATGATTCAGGCAATCCACACCCGTCAGCCGTTAGCCAATCAGTGGAGAATGGTTGGTGTTCTACTGTCATAAATCAGCCACCCACTGACAGGACGTAAACGCAACGGTGAGCCGTTAGCTAATCAGATGAGAGTGGTGGTCGTTTCTAGTGTCATGAATCAGCCACAGCTGATTGTCTGTAAACGTAACGGTAACGGATGGGTTTTCGCCGGTTGGCCGTTAGCTGTTCCGTTTTGATCAGCCACCCGCTGACGGTGTGTAAACGTAACTGTGACTCGGTGTGCCGTTAGCTAATCAGTCGAGAATGGTTGGTTCCAGTGCCTTGAACCATCCACCCGCTAACAGTCTCTGTAAACGTAACAGTGACGGACTGGTATTGGCCGTTAGGTGTTCCGTTTACGGTGGTTCACTTTAGTATCATAAAACGTCCAACCCCCGTGTAAAGGTAAGGGTGACAGACGGATCTCCCCCGTTTGGCAGTGTTTCGCTTTAGTGTCATGGATCACCCTCCCCTTTGCATATATAACCTCATAAAGGTTACGGACGATAACGGGCGTGTCCCAGACTGAAGTGCAATAGCTTAACGGCCGATTGTACTAGGTGATGGCTGTAGCGGTTTTTTATCGTGTTACGGCTGTAAGCCAGGTGGTCCAGGCCAGAGGCTGAGAGGCTCCTACTTTGAGAGAATCGCGGGGCATCCCATTGTATTACGTTACGTTACACAATGCTGATAATCACGACTATAATTTTCGATAATTTATGATATTAAGAAATGAAAATGCATCCTGTGGAGAAGGCAATACAGTAAAAACAGTTTCTTTTGCGATAGGTGAGTATATTGCGTTACGTCTTTGCAGACATAGGGGAACTTCCCGATAAGAACAAGCAGTCAGTGTCTCAGAGCGCAGCTTGCTTCTCCGTTTAGCACGAAGGCGAATCGAACGAAAGCGCAATGAGTGGCGGGGGCCAAAGCACAACGCACAGGGGGAGCGACGAGGATGGAGGGGAGGGGAGGGAGGGAGGGAAAGAGGTGGACG